AGATTTCTCCAGATTCTTGGAATCTTGTGATGATGTTACGTACTGGATATAAAAATCCTTTGCAGTTTCTATTTCACTTCTGTTTTCTATTTTGAATAAAAGATGAGTTTATTATATTTGCAAATCTTTTCCTTGTGTGTTTAATTACATATCACACAGCATCCCAATGTTTTTGTATTCAGGGCTGTAATTGTAAAAATGTAAAGTGTGTTATGCTCTAAATGCACAACAGGAATGGTTTATTTGTGCTGAATGCAGGTTAATCAATCAAACAAGACTGATACAAGCATTAGTGAGTAATACTACTTCACACCACAGACTTTATACCTTAATAGGTTTTAACTGGCAGATATGATAAAATTGATCAAATATGTTATATTATTGTTTAATTTATAAACTGAAAGACAACTTAAATTGACATCAATTAGATGTTGATGCAGGTAAAGGACGCTGTCATCAGGCTGTAATGACGGGATCAAAATAATTTAAAAATCTATAATAATGAAGCCCACCGAACTAATTCTGAAGGTCTGTGCTTCGGTCACATCTTGATTGAAAATTTTTTTTTTTATCATTGTCCAAATACTTATGGCCCTAATTTAATATGCACTGTGTAATGCTACAGCCACATTTGGGAAAACAGCGGGTGGAGACTGTGGTGCGACCTGAAAAAGATGTATTGGAAAAAATAAATATAACTTTTAAAACTGGGACCCCGTTTGTGACCACTTGCAGTTAGCTGCCATCTTTAAAGCAACGTCAGTGCATCAAGACATTGATAAAAGTCTGCAATCAGTTTGCAATTAAATGGAGTCAAGTTGGCAATTATGTGTAATCTGTTTGTGATTGACTGAGACGAATCTGTTTTAAATATTTTGCTGTCCAAACACACAGAAGTTCACATTAACTCCTTACATCCACACTTCAGCCAGAATCTCACAGATCTGAAGCAGAAATTTCTCCACATATAGTGACGTAGTAGGTGAAGGACATGGCACCCAGCTGAGTTTAGCCCCCGACTGCAGAGAGACGAGTTGCAGACAGGTTGCAGTCATCAGCATAGAATGACATGTTGGCTGTCTGTATTTTTAAATTAGACAGCAATTATTTGCAAACCTTCATCAGTCTGAGAATGAGAGTCAGTCTGAGTCAGACTGTGATTGTTTGGACAGGTTGCCTCCCACCATGTAATCTGTGCAGACAGCGTGGAACACCCACAACCTCTGTGTCATTTAGCGCTGCCAGTTTCACTATTTTAATTTAACATGTGGTACTAGCAGTCAGAAATGATGAGTTGGAGGGGATAGGTATGAACACTATAAATAGTATTTATCCTCCTATCAGAAAAATCAGATGCATGTCACACATACTAGGAGACTGGATCTGCCTGTGGGTGTCTCTCTAGTGTTACAGTGTAGAAATAAAAAAAATAGAAAGTGTCTGATTGAACAAAGAAAATACTGACAGTGTACATTACATACATAATGACAAAATATTATGTATTACATACAGACAGATACACACACACACACACAGTTATGCTTGTAGAGTAGCAGCAACATGGTTTTAGTAATGCAGCACATGACACTAAAACAAGCGTGACACACCAGTCACATGGGCAGGAGCATCTGCCAGTGACACACGAGTGGGAAGCTGTTGACGAGCTGCACACAGCAGGGGAATGTCATAATCATTACTGGCATATGTTGGTAATGAATACGAATTTAACTTTTAGTGCCACAAACGCACTCTTCACTGCTGCACTCTTCTTTTGTACGCACCTCGCTCCCAAAATTAAAGTTGCACTCAGAATGAAGTGCTACTTGGCACGTTTGATTAGGAGAAGGCGGTAGATTGCTTATTTATACAGTAAGTGTTCACTTCATTATAAGGAAGTATGATTTCTACTTATATAGTCTGCTGTTACTTCAGTATTGCACAGATTATGTTGTGC